CGAAGCAATTGGTCAGATAATGAGGCAAAAACCTAAATAACTCTTTAACTCTTTCATCTTCCTAAAAATTCTTACTTTCATACTGAGAAGATAAAGGAATCTGTATTTTAAAATTTAAAAAGATACTCAAGAATTACACTGATCCTGAAAACCTGGAAGACAAATCTTCCCTTTAAATTATATAAACTTGCAATCCTGAAGTGAAAGGGAACTGCTTCCCTTTTTATGTGTCATCTATCTTTAGTCCTCCAGAATGCAAAGAAATACAAGGACTGTGGTGTTACAGAAATGAGGCTTGAAATAATTTATATTGAAGATTTTCCACTGTCCCCCCAACAAGTTATAAATATTGATGGGGTGTTTAAGGCAGCCAATCACACAAATATTTAATATTCATACATACTGCACAGGGAATTCAATATACACTTCTTGTAGGCTCTTCCTTATGTAACGTTAGAGTGCATTACATCTGTGGATGGAGACACAATTTTATGAACAGCAGCTGAGATCCTCAGCTGATGCAAAAAACCTTCCTTCTTGGAGGCTCATCATGCTTCAGATGACATTGTTAACGGCAGTATCAGAGAAACAGCTTTATTATTGATTCCACCTTATTATTGATTCCACCATATCAGCAAGAAAACAGATGTCATCCTAGTTATTGCTAAGGAACTAGGCTGTGTCATGATGAAGCCAACTAATGGTAGCACGTTGTACCGTGGAGAAGAGCTGCCAGGGACTTCCTGGGTGCCAGTGCCTTCCCTGCAGGCTCAGTCATGTGTGGGTCAGGTTTGCTACCTCCTCACCACCACAGCAAGGGTTAGTCCATTGCAGAACACTGTATTCTTCTCCAGCAATGTAAACAAAGACAAAACTCTGAGAAGTCGTGCTGTTCTGCCTTACCCACCTGTACTACTGGAAAGATGGCACGGTCACCTGACTTGTTCTCCATTACAGAAGTACCGGGGACATGCTGACAAGAGTTATGTTGAGTACAAGATTCTGCTTTAAACAATATCACTACACAATAATGTTTGAAGAACCAGCAGCCTGCTTAAAGGAACTGAGACAAAAACAAAAGAGAGGGGATGCTGCTGTATTTTCTAGCAAGAACAGGTTTTATGAGTTTGCGAGTGCCATGCAACAAGCATGCTGCAAAGTTCATCATAGCACGGGGAGGCAGGTCCTTTGGGAAGCAGGTGGCTCTGAGAACAAGCAGAGCTTCCTGGAGAATTAGACTGAAACTCACTGGATCTGCTAATAAACAATATATAGTAACAATTTTATATATATATTATATATAAAATATGTAAATATCTACTATTATAACAAACAATAAATAATAACAAATAGTATAACAACAAGCCTGTTTCAGGTATTTCACTGAGAAAATGTGAAACTTGTGTAAGGGAGAGTTTTACATCTCTGCTTTATTAAATGACTCAAAGCAGGGATTACTATGTCTCATACAAAAGAAAAGGACATTTTGAACTTTCACAGTGAGGGCTAGACTTTGCCTTTTCGCCTTTGAGGGCTAGACTACTTGCTTTTTTTATATAGATATAGCTACTTTTTGTATAATGATGTGTTTAACAAAGAGTGTCTTAGCAGAAAGCTTGAGTTATTTCTTTTGCATCTCTACAGTTCAATGCTGTTTATAAACATGTGACCATTTGAAGTGGTTACAAGGGTTAGATAAACCTCCATTAATTGTGGATACATCAAAGTAGGTGTAGAAACACCAGAAAAATCACATTTTGTCTGATCCATTAGTCATTTTTACTTACATCTAGAGAACCTCTACCTGTTGAGGACATACTCCTGATAAGCATTTCGGCCATATCTGACGGACAGCAAAGCAATTCTCCTATTTAGCTTAATGCAATGGAGAGATGGATGCATGCAGACCCTTGAGAAATAACACACAACTGAATATACAGGGACACTGTATATGGCATAGAGGAGGAATGGTGGAAGTAGGACCATTCAGGCATCAACTGGAGAAGATGACAGCTTTTTGGGAAGGATGACTGTCCTGAAAGATCTCAGCTGCTTCACCCAGGAAACCCAATGTAAACTTTAGGCTGAACATTTCTGCTTTCCCCCTCTGAATGCTTATGATTGTCACCACCGTCTTCTTCAGATGAATTGGGATCAGTCAAAGTTGAAGAATGGAAGAACGATGAGCGAGTGAAGCACAGTGCTAAAATATCAGCAATGGCATCACAAAAAAACAGACACCAAACAAGGGACAGGGGGGTGCTGCTGCGCCTCCCACTGAAGTGTTCTGGAGGTCAGTCAGAAGTACAGAAATTAAAATACAAATGCAAAATACTTGCTTATGTGCTAAAACAAACATAAAGGAACTTTTTATTTGAGTGTTTTGGCTGCAGTACCCTGAATGTGTAAACAAATTTCACACTCAGCCCCCCTTGCCCATGTGGTCTTAAAGGATGTATGTGTGTGTGTGTCTCTATTATCAGCAGAACCACATTTATGTTTGAAGAAAAGTGAATCACTTGGTGACCACTTTTGACTTTTATACTTTTGTACACCAGCATTGCTGAGCACAATACAGGCACACTTTCCAACCCTCCCCTGCTCAGCTCGAGCGCTCGCAGCCAGAAACACTGCTCCAGCTAACACACACTGCTCCATCCCTACCGCTGCTTTTCCTGGAACAGCGGGCAAATCTGCAAAATGCAAGTTTGGAGACAGCAAAGACACATACTTAGTTATTTAATAATTTCACTGTAAGTCCATATTCATTGTTCTAAGTGTTGGTGCTTTGAGACCACACACGCAAGCAGGCGAGGAAAGGATGAGTGAATTTCTCTCTCAAGCTGTGTCCTCTTCTGTGCACCTAGAATCAGGCAGCTGGGACGGACAATACCAGTAGGTGCTTGATAGTTAAACACAACGATACTATCTTAGATGCAAGAAAATCTCCAGTTGCACATTGTCGGTAACAAGGGGACAATGCAAGAGAAAAAAAAAAATCACTCTGTATTTGGCTTTCCTTATACTTTTTCTTTACATATCCACTATTGGTCCTTGCTGGAAAAAGTGTATCAGAGTGGATGCATCTTTGCTTTGGCCAGATCAGCCATTCTTTTGTTTTATTTTCCCTCTTTTCAGACCAACAGGCTAAATCCTTAGGAGAAATAACGAAATTTGACTTCCACAGTGGTGAGTTGATTCATCTCTCCAACTCCTTTGCTCCCAGCGTAAACTGCTGTTTCTGGAGGTGCTTCAAGAGCCAGTGCTACCCAGCTGGCTTTGGAGCAAAGAAGAGCACAATTGGAAGATCTGACCTGACCTGTACTATCACCACAACAAGGAGGAGCACAGGGTCCTGTGTCTGATACAGGACAACCTCATGCATCAGTCTGGCTAAGCATCATGCCTTTCTGAAAAGATCCTGCTGGTTATGGTGGATCCATCACTGAATAAAAGCCAGTGGTGCAAAGGTGGCTCACGCCACATCAGGGCCTTGAGCAACATGATCTAACATTGCAGCTGCATCTAACGTCAAACCTTGCATAGGGGTAGGACCAGACGATTTCCAGTGGTCCCTTCCAAACAGAATGACTGTGACTCCAATTGGTAGAGGCATACATTGAAACAGGAGGCAACATCCACAGGATGAGCCTGGGGAAGTTCAGATTGCAGACAAAGAAACACTTCCTCCCCCGATGGAGGTGCAGCCCTGGGACAGGTTGCCAGTCCTGGTGGCGGATCTCCATCCTGTTGTCCTTTGAAATCTCAGCTAGACAAGGCTCGGTTGCCCTGACCTTGTGTTAGTTCAGCCTGCTTGCGAGCAGGAGCTGGAGAACAGATCTTCAGAGGTCCTGGCCACCAGGGCCGCTGCTATACTATGATACTCCCTCATGACAGCTTATGACATTAAATTGCATGGTTTTGGTGTGAGGAAGGAAAGGCACGCCCAACGTTATGGCTGTTTTCTAGCACGGTGACAACATGTAGATACAAGGGCAAGGTTTGCACTGCCCTGCTCAGCAGGTACACGTATCGCTGGTGTCTGCAGGCTGCAGGAAGAAAACAATGAATCCTGACTGAACGAGGAAGACTAGAAACAAAAGTCTCCCAGGTCTAAATCTGAACATGCTTTAGTGCAGTGAATTTGGTAATACTTAATAATTATGTATTAGGCAGCAGCTGATTAAGAAAATCTTTCCTTATTCTGTGACAATGAGTCACAGTGCTTTGCAGGTGGCCACAAAGGTGGGTAGGTTTGTAGCCCTGCTCGACCGATGTGGTTAAACCTGGTCATCGTCGCAATGCGAGCAAGTAACAGAACCATGAAGCGTTTCCAGCTCCTAAGGAACTTGATTAAACTCAAATGCTAGCAGTTTTTCTCAAGCTTTTCTATGCCAACATGCTCTTGGTATATGAACTACATTTAATAAATAAAACATCTACTTACTCAGCTGCCATCTTCCAGAAACAGATGAGAAGTGTCTGCTTTGTGGGATGTTCTCCAAGCGTTACTGAGCAGCCGTACTATGAGCAACCATTTCAAAGATTTTCCATGATTATAAAAGCACACTGGCTAACTCTGAATTAGACTGAATAGTCTCAATTATATAACTCATTACTATTTCCAAGCATGCTTAGTGGAAAGAACAGGAGTTGTAATGGATGATGGGAGATAAATTGGCATGTGTGTGAATCAATGTTTAAACAAAGGAACTCCAGCTCTTTCTTGGAATAGCAACATTTTGATGTCTCAAATCCCCTGACACTGGTTTCATAAATGCAGTAACGTAAACCATGTGCTGGGTGGTGATTTTCTGAGGATCTTCCTGCTTTCATTGTGTATTTTATTAGAGGCCAAATGTGACATTAAATGCTATCCACTGTGGCTTGGAGTTAAATACTTCGTCTGTTCAGAATAGCAACACTCAATTAAACAGCATTTTTCATGATCTACACCCTCTATTGTCACTGCATTTAAGGGAAATAATGGGAGCACTGACCTATATTGCGTTTCTTATTATCAATGGAGATGAAGCGTATGCAGGGATTATCGGTGATGTACTGTGCAGCCCAGGGGACATCTATCCGGGTACCAGCTTCATAGAAAAGTCCCAGAGCGTAGCGGGAGGAGTACCTTGCAGATTCAAGTTGCTGCTTTTGACTTTCATTAATTACTGTGAAAAAAAAAAAAAAGAACAGAAAAAGAAAAATCAGACAATCCCTCTGCTCTCAGAACATTAAATGGGTGAATGCTGTGGTTAAGCTGATTATTCCTTCCTGAAAATGACCGGACTGCTAAAACTAAGAATTTAATATTAAGTCTAGTGCTTTGTAATATTTTTTCTGGGACATCTCTTTATGAAGTTTTAATGGCGCATTATGTAGAGTATGTCCTTCACATGCAACCCTCCCCATGTGTTGGCAGTTTATCTCCCAGTTCTCTGCTAACTGTCTCTGACTTGAAACTTCAATGACTGGTGACTTTTTTCCAAATCTTTTCTCAAAGGATGAATAAATGGCAATAAGAAGTTTGGGTTGCCTCTACTACATGAAGTAAATGATTGTACGACTCTAAAAAAACTCAAATGACTTCACACATCAACAAAATGAACATAGGGACTCTTCACTCTCTGGGGAAAATAGCCCTGCAACTCCTGTGTTGCAATTCAAATAGAGGAAGAAAACTCTGCACTTCAGCACAGAAGGGGTGCGTAGTGAAGTTTAGCTCCTTCAGCTGAAGGTATTTTAAAGCAGTTTAGAAATTTTCAGAGCAGGTATGAATTCATTCCTCCCTATTATTAACTTTTCTATCTTCCAATTACAGTAAGATCTGCTTTCTGCCTCAACTTTATAATGTTCATAAAAAGCTGCACAAAGTAGCATTAGCCTCACTGTGCATTCAAATACAAATTTATTTCATGCCAAAGAAAAATACAACAGTTCGACTAATCATGGAGTTAGGTACTACATCTCTCTTTGCACGACTGAATGGATGGCCAACACTGCTGCAAGCTGGAACAGGATGTGCTGAGACAAAATCACAGCTCCGTTGAGCTTTTCTGGAGATTTGATATCGAGAGGCAAAAGAACAACAGACAAGGTGCTTTACTTTATACAAAATTCAGCCAGCACAATGAACATCTTGTATGTAGAAAGGAGCAGCTGATGGCTACATCCCCCATGCCACTTCCCACAGGCAGCAAGCCAGGTGTTGAGTGGTATCTTCAGGAATTCATCAGAAGTCCTGCCCCAAGACAGACCAGCACCATGCATGGGTCAGGCTGGGATGGGCTGGAGGGACAGCTCTCCACGCAGGTGAGAGGCATCTGTAGACTCATGCACACCAAGCTGGCCAAAAGACCCAGCAATGAAGACCAACCAGCCCAGCATGAGAGTATGCAGCTGGTCAAGGGATGGTATTATTCCTCTTCAAGTGAAGCCACATCCGGACACTTTTCTGCAGTTGTCATGCCCTCCAAGTACAAGACAGACAACAACAAATGGGATAAGGTTCTCTGCAGGGTCACTAACATGGTCAACTACAGGGGTTCTCCATTCCTGGGAACTGCCCTGACTGACCCGGACACAGCCCCGAACAACTTACTGCAGCTGCAGTGTTGGACCTCATGGAAGCAGTGTTAGGCTGGAGACCCCCACCCTGGTGCCTCCAGCTGGAGCTGGTGGGACTGGGTGATTCTGCACACCTTACCCACACCACAGCCACCTCCACGCCACCACAAGTAGTGCACTTCAAAGCAAAACGCTCACGTGATTGACCTTGCTGTCATGACTAATGCTCAGAACTTACAGTCAGGACAGCTTCATCTCACACTCACTCCACCAGCACATGGTGCTCTCTCTGGGAACTGCTATTTCCTGCTGTGCCAAAGGAACTCTAGGAACCAGGGCTATAAATCAAACTCCATGCATGGTGCCATGGCACAGGTGTTACTGAGTCACGCAGTGTTGGCCAGGGGTGGGGGTCCAGCAGCACTGGCAGGATGCACATTTGAGAGCACATTCAGTCAGGCCGAAAAGTCCTTGCAACAGCTGCCACTAAACCTGTAAAGCCTATGTACCACCATTCTGCACCAAGGTCCATTCCCACCACTTCTGATATACTCCCTTCTCAAACAGCATCAAAGCTACCAGTGTTCGGAGTCTATTTACATGCAGAGGACAATGAGCAGGGGAGCATGTCATTCCTGAGCCAACCCTGGTGTCACCCCAGCTCTTACCAAACTAGGAGTGACCATTTCAGCTGTGCAAGTCTACAGCTGCCAAGTTCAAACTTCTTGTCATGACTGGTCTATTCTGTGCAAAATTTCCACGTGGCTTCCCAAACTGTGCATGGACACAACTTATGTCCTTATTCAGTGTCCTCTGAGAGGCTCAGTAAGCAAGCCATGAAGCCTACTATGTCTCAGAAGCCTTGGTGAACCAAGGTTCACCAAGAGTATCGAGTCCCCTTTTCACAGACAGGTGCCTTCCATGGGAAGATGCATGGTCTGCAGTCACAATTTCTCACCTGAAAACCCACCAGGCTACTCACAGGTATCTGCCCCATCCTGTTGTTTCTCTAGTTGCATATTTTTTTGGTGATGTCTCTAAGGGATTCCTCTGCGCATCCTGGAGAAGACTGATTTCAGAGGCTGCTTTCTGCCTCCTCCCCTGAAATGGTGACCTCACGTGCAGAGTGCTCTCCTAACTGAGGTTCCTGGCTGGTCTCCCCCACCCCACCACAACCTCCAAAACTATACCAACACTAACCTTTCCTAACCACCAGCACACCAGAGGATGACAAGTCAGATTCCATCTCAAATTGCATCAGAATAAACCTTTAAATGCCCTCCTCACAAATTTTAAGGCAAATATGCTGGTGAACAGAGAAAATATGAAGGCAGAAAGAAACACTGACCAACCCACAAAAGTGGGGGATAGGAAAGGAGGGGAAATAAGGCATCTGGCACTAGGGTGGTGGTGGTGGAGCTGCCTGACAGAGGAAGCCAGAGGACAGACCTGTCCAGAAGGGCAGGACTGCCTGAGCACCATGGGGTTTGAAGATGCTTCCTCTCCCTCTCCAGACCAATGCCCACTCTCTGAGAAGGTGTTGAGAGGACCTAGCTGCTTCTCACCTTGTCCCAGCACCTAGATCTTTCCAAGGAGGATCCACTCCGCTCCATGAACCTCAGGAACCTCAGGAACTCCAAGTATTGGGTCAAAGACCCCTCAACCCTCTGCTGTCACTTTCCCTCGTTAAAGCTGCCTCCACATAAGTTATGGCACAGTAGGGTTCCCATCTGTTATACCGCTGGTCTGTGACCGAGACCTAGCACCAGTTCAGCACGGAGAATGCCGTCAGTGTGCTACTGCCTCGAATGGGCTTCTGCAGCACACACACGTGGAGGAATATGGAGCATCTCTATAGAAGAACACCCCGTACAACATGCTCCAGAGAAAACCAGAGAGTGGTGGTTGCAAGAGCTGCTCTTCAAGGTTATTTCTTCTTGCTTCACCCTGTGCATGTACCAGCTGAGGAACCAGTGGCTCCCATCTCGCCCCTGGACTCCAGACATGATGCAGACCCCCTGTCCAAGCGTGCTGCCCTGCCGGCCAGCTCCAAAAGCCACAGTGTACCAAGGACCCTGGCTGGGCTTGCTCTGCCTTCCTCTAGGCCAGGCTGTTCCCCTGGAGCCCAGGGTTCCTGGGTGCACAGGGCTCCATGCCAAACCTCCAGAGCAGCCTGGTGGGGGGCTGCCCCAGGCCGCAGCAGGGCACTGGCTTTCATCCCGGCTTCTCCTGCCTCTGAAAGGTTTCGTGTTGACCTGGGCGCTGGCAGAACTCTCCCAGCTCTGCAAGCCTCCTGTAGGCTGTCATGTCCCTTCTCCTCCATCCTTCCCCTCTCCCACAGCTTCTCTCCAGCTTCTGCAGCCCCCGGGACTGGGAGACTTCATGGTGTGGCACCACCAGCCGGTAAGGCCTGCGAGGAGGAGGGAAGGGAGGGGATTGAGCAGGGACACAGGGCGGGCTGGAGGGCTGCCCCGGAGGAAAGGATGCCAGCACCAGAGGACCTCGCACATCCTGCCCGGCTGGAAACGTTCCCTGCTCTGTGCTAATTCCCCGCTCAAGCTGTGAATTTCACAGCACAGCCACTCGGTGCCAGAATCCGGGAACTGTCTTGGGGGCTCTTTACTGCCAAGTTGGAACAGCAACGTTAGCAATTTCAGTCAGCAGTGCTTGTCCCAGTTCCTCCTGGCAGACCACAACAGTCCAGACAGGGAACAGAGCTGCTGCTAGACACAAGCCACACAGCACAGGGGACAGATCTTGTCCAGAAACCTCCCTGTCCTCTTTCAGGTAAGGGTTCTGCACAGCTGGATTTGGAGATGTCCATTTCCACCAGACCCCCTTCTTACATCTACAATAAATAATCACAATGCATTACACATACTTGCTGTGCTTCAAAAGAATATAAAATTCCTATAAACACACAAATAAATATTAGGCTGTAATATCCCATCCAAAACACTACTCTTTGTTCAGGTTACTTTGGCAACTCATTTTCCCTTGGGGAAAAAAAAAACACAAACAAGACCTCCTCCAGCCTGCAAAGCCACCCCCCCAGCGAAGCTCAGCAGGCAGAAACCTCTGCGCCGTGGGAACCCCTCTGGGCCGGAGCCGGAGCCGGAGGCGAGCGGCACCACGCTGCCCCTGTGCCGGGAGGGGAGGGACCCGCGGGCTTGGGTCTGCTCAGGCAAATGGTTTATTACACGGAGCACTTCAGCAGGTATGACCTTCACGATGCCAAGCGTTGCCGAAGTCGAGCCGGCCAGTTGGCTCTGAATTACCTCGTTTAAGACTTAATATTGCTTTATGGGCCTGTCTTCACGAGCTGTAAAGTTTCAGAAGGTGTTAGGGGTGACTGGGGATGGAGGGATGCTGGACAGCAGTGTGCTAATCAGAGCTAAGTTACAATTTTATCAGTTTTAAGCGTACACATAGACACGGAGCTTGGCTGGTGGCTGCCGAGGAAAGCAGATGAAGGAAAGCACCAAACCCTCCTCCTAGAAGAGAGAAGAAGGGGGAGGGCAGGCAGCTCCCAGGGTGCGGGCAGCAGCCAGAGTGACGGAGCTGTGACTTAACAGATCCAAGGGCTCTAAGCAGCGAGGGCGGC